AATGAGATAAGGAAAACTCCCTATACGGCAAATGTACTTTCACATGTATTTCTGAAGTATATTGCCAAATTTGGGGGGGTGGGGGAAACATCTATAAAAAAGTGGTCCATGTGGGTAGGATATGTAATGGGCTACAAATGAGAAGTGGGTCCCAGCTCCTGGCCCAAGTTCCAGAGACAAAGCCCTGAGCCCTTCCCAAAATGAAACAGACAGATGTAAATGAGTTCAACCTGTTTGAACGCAATATAGCAAAAATCTAACAAAACTTGTAAATGCAAATATCCTGCCACCCTGAATATTTGCTTCTCAGAATAATTCCCACAGACATATTCACATATGCACACAAATACATTTGCACAATGATATCATTTGCAGTATGATTTGTCATAGCAAGAATAGAACTGATCCAAATGTCCATCAAAAGGAGACTGGTTAAATAAATTATGAACTTCCATATAACGGAAAACTCCTCAGTCATTAAAATAGATGAGCCAAATCTGCATGTGATGATATGAAACCATCTCCAAGCTCTACTGGTAAATGCAGAAAGCAAGGTATAGAGGACAAAGGTTACCATGCAGGCTTCTGTGGTCACAAAGTGCTTCTGGAAGGATAAGAAAGACACTGCCTCTGGGGAAGCAAGCTGGAGGACTGAGGACCGGGGTGGAAGGAAGAGTTCTTTTTATCCTTTTGTACCATTTTTTCATTTTTTAATCATATATAGATATTGCCTATTAAGATTTTTTCAACCAGGTAGCTTAGAGCTTTAGCCCAGCCCTGGATTAAGGAAATCGAGCCTGAAATAAACAGTCTATAAAAAACACAAAGCCTCTTGCTATGGTTTGAATGTGTCCCCCAAAAGTTCATGTGTTGAAAACTTGGTCCTCATGTAACAGTGTTGAGAGGTGGGATTTTAGGAGGTGATTGAGTCATGAGGGCTCTGCCTCATAAATGGATTAATCCATTCATGGATTAGTGGGTTAATGGGTTATCAAGGGAGTGAGTTAGTTATCACAAGAGTGGGTCTGTTGAGGCCAGTTTGGCCATCTCTTGTGAGTTGTCTTGCCATGTGATGCCCTGTGCTGCCTCAGGACTCTGCAGAAAGTCCCCACCAGCAAGAAGGTCCTCACCAGATGCAGCCTTTTCACATTTGATTTCCTAGCCTCCAGAACTGTAAGAAATGGATTTCTTTTACTTATAAATCACCCAGTCTCAGGTATTCAGTTATAGCAACAGAAAGCAGACTACGATGTAGGTCAAGGCCTGTGCAGGCCTGGAGTGGACCCAAGATAGATGTCAGATGGTTCTACCTGAGGAAAGAAGAAAAACTGCTGAGGCTAGGCCAGCCAAGCATGTTCACAGGTTGGTGTGAGCTCTCTGTCCTTGGAGAAGAGGGACTTGGGTAGAGACGAGTTGGAACGAGCAATCCAAGAATGAGGTGGCAAAGAGGTCACTAAACCAGACAACCAAGATGTCCCAGAAGGTCCAGTGATGGCAATAGTGCTGTAAAAACACCTCAGAGAAGACAAGTTTTTTTAGCCCAGAGATTTTGAGAAACTCAAACTGTCAAACTCCGAAGTATGAGCTTCCAATTTCTTGGCCTTGACCCCAAGCTTCAACCACAGGCAAAAACAGCAACAACGGGCCGAGCCCATGGCGCACTTGGGAGAGTGCAGCGCTGGGAGCACAGCAGCGCTCCCGCTGCAGGTTCGGATCCTATATAGGGATGGCTGCCGGTGCGCTCACTGGCTGAGCATGCGGGGGCCGGTCCCAAAAAAAAAAAAAAAAAAAAAAACAGCAACAAGGGG